TTAAAAAGGTATTTATACGTTTATATAATAATCTTACAAATATTTTAAACGCGATGTTAAGATGGATGGATGGATGTTTGTTTGAAGGTATCTCTGGAACAGCTGAACGGTTCTAGCTGAAATTTAGCATAGATGTAGAACATGGTCTGGAGGAACACATAGGCCCTTTATTATTTTTTTTTAATTCCTCGCGGACGGATTCGCGGGCGACAGCTAGGTAGGTATAGTTTGGATTCAAATTATATATATAATTAGATGCACCCAAGCAGCCTAATAGAGAGTAATAGATACACTAACTGGAAGCAGAACACCTCGTCGCATATTAACCGATATATTATTTAAAGTTCTTATTATGTATTCGTAACTTATATGTATACATAAATGTTTGTCTCTTCATAGGAAGGACAAATCAAAATCCAATAAGCATTTTTAACGATGGCCATAGTCACTGTAAAATAATATTTTTATTTGTTATTTACGGAAAAATATTTTTAAGTAATAATTTTATTTAGGTAGAAATATTGCGACTACTTTTATAAAGTAGCCTCGAGACTTTAGACCAAGCTGCCTCTACCGCTTTTACTTTTGAAATAATCCTTTACATTTAAATTAACTGGAAAGTTCTAGAGATGCTCCTTGAAAATCCAATACTGCCGCGAACTTTTTTTATTTTATACTATATATAAAAATATAAATACCTCGTCAATGCAATCAAAGAGTCATATCCCTAAGTAGTACTCACGAGGTTATTTTTCGTGTTACTTTTATGGGTCAAGACAACGGATAAATAAGAGTCGGACGTCATGCAGTCTTCGCCCACGATTCAATAAAGCTTGACGCTATAAAATACCTACAGCACCTACGCTTATTGCTTGATTAGAGATACAATTCACGTGTTGCTGTATGGTAAGATTGGAATTTCAAGGAAATAATTGTTCTCTGTCTACTAACGGCAATGATATCTTTAGATAAAAAAAACAATTGTTTTGAATTTAAATGTTACATTTTAAGAACATAGTTTTAGACATTATTAGGTAGAATAATTTGGCGCGAATGACGTGCTTTCGTTACAAAATCCAATGTCAAAATAGTGAGGGGACACAAACGTCGATATTTTAGTAAGGCTAGTGTTGGGTCAATACACTGCCACATTTTCGGATTTTCTTCCTAACAATAGTAAACACGGAATACAGTCGAATTATTCTTGACTTCTATATCTGCGTTACCTTGCTACTTTAGCATAACTGTCCATTATGCTATTGCTTTCGCGTAGTTTATGAGTAAAGATTAAAAAAAAAATCTTTTAACAGCATGAATAGTAGAATACAAAATATATGCTTTTTTTTATAACAGAAGGGGGCAAACGAGCAGCGGGAGCACCGAGGTGTTCAACGACGCCCATGGACATCAGCAATACCAGAGGAACCGCAGATACGTTGCCGGCCTTTGCTTATAATATAATAAGCTCTTACGACTATGACAATTCGAGCTAGGCAGATAGCTATCTCCCTTTTTAAACACTATTTGTTACGTAGGAATTACGGATGATTAAAATCGCAAACATTAAAAGGAATTCGGTTTGTGAATGTCTGAGCTCAATAATAAAATATCGATACGGAAATTGTGTGCGGTCCTGTTTATATTGTGAACCGATCCTGAAATACCGGTCGCATGCCGAGATAAATAGCATTTCGTTTGGTGCAATACAAAAAGGAGCCGACCGTGAGAACTGGTTTTAATAGTTGCGGTATTTAAATTTTGCATTGTAAAATTTCTTTTTTATTATACATGATTATATGGTTTTTTTCTGAGTTGCCTATTATTATAACCAAACAGATACCACATCTAGAATTTGCTAGATATGAACACCAAATTATATTAAATTGAACAATACTTTAATACAAAATATGCAAACCCAATCACTAAAATATCAAGTCAATTTGTCTCTCGAGACAAAGTCTGACAAAGACAAAACACTCATCTTCTTCTTCTTGCTCTACAGCCCTTTGTGGGTCTTGGCTTGGTCCAGCAACTTTTTCCGCCTCGGTCTATCTATGGCCATGGACTTTCAATTTGCTATACCCATTTTTTTGCGTCTTTATTTACGCCGTCTATCAATCGGATTTTAGGTGTCCCTCGACTTCGACGAGTATTTTGACATTAAAATTTGTATTGTTAACCAATTTAATCAATAATAAACTAGTATTTAAAATATCAAATTCGAAATAAACGAAGTAATCTTTAGACGCGAATAATCGACGATTGTCGAGTGTATTTTATTTATGCACATAACAGGAAGTTTGTCGTTTTAATTAAGTCGCTAATAAATTAATATTTATAACACAACCCCATTCAAACTTCGTAGGCCAAGGAGGAATATGCAAATATGTCTACGATACCGCGATATAAGCTTAGCTTTAGGTACACCGTTTATTAGTAAAAATAATCTTTATTAGATTTTCCAAGGATATATCTTTATATATATAATTCTTCTGTGAGTGTGTATGTCACTGAACTTCTCTCAAACGACTGGACCGATTTTGATGAAATTTTTTGTGTGTGTTCAAGTGGATCTGGGAATGGTTTAGATTCACAATTTTCATCAAATATTAAGTTCATATTAATTTATTTAAAATCAAAGACGTGTAGACAGGACAACGTCTTTCGGGTCCGCTATTTACATATAAAATAAAGTTAAAATACGTCAGTCTGTAAATTCGTCAGCAAGATGGGCAGAACGCTCAATTTGTGAATTGCACATTCAAGGGCGTATTTATAGAAGGGCCCGACGCAGGGAACTTCCGTAGGGCTCTTTTTAAACCATGCGCAACGTACTGCACACAAGTACCTTAGCTGCAACTTCGTAAAAATATAGAAGGAATAAATTATCTTCGAACTACGAGTGCATTTTATAGAAATAATTTTATCGTCAATGGCGTCAATCAATCAAATAATTGGACAAACATATAAACGAGTAATAACTATAGGTAGGTTTGGAAAATAATTATAGACATTTTTGTGCGTTTTATTGAAAAAAAACTTAGTAATCTTGTTTTTCTTGTAAGTCCTTATCGTATTTACTTTAAAAATGCATGAGCGAAGATAACGCTGTTATGTCATGCGATAACCGGTTCACGTTCTATTAATACATTTATGTTATTTAATTCAATCGTAAAAAACGATTACCAATTTCTTCTGGGCAGCGAAACAAAAAAATAATAGTTTCGAAAAAATCTGAATAGCAAAAAGTTGCCAAAACTTTTTTGCATGCAGTTTTTGAAATGTATACATTTTAACTAATTAATCATTAAACTTTATAAAAAATGTTTTAATTATATATTTTTCTGTATCAGATATTATTTAAATATGTTCCTGTAACCGATAAAAGTAAAATATAGATGTAGATAATAAAAACTTGGGAACATAATGAACTTTTGTACGGAGAAACCGCAACAATTCGGGATAGAGGCAGCTGGTTGGTAATTTGGTGAAAATGCATTTTTGGAATACGAGTGTGTGTACGGGAAACGGAAACCAGCTGTGCGCAGAGCGGTTAATGTACGGGAACCGGTCAAATTGCATTTTTAGGGCTCCACCAATTTCGGCGAGTGCTCTGCCCGTGCATGGATTAAAACACTTAAAATGCAGGATAGATAAGAAAAATATAACACTCCTACCCCTTTGCAATATTGGATTTTGCAAAAATATGTCGCCTCCACTTGTCTACAGTTTAGCGAAATTTTTTAAAATGTCTTTCGTAACACTTCCAGCCTTCCTTTAATTACTAAATAAGTTTTTATAGCTCTTTAGATATGTTTAGTTATGATTTTAACTTCATAAAGATGACCAAAAAAAATTCAACTTAAAATCAGAACAGTTGAACAAATTTTCAAATGATATCAGTGTCAAATCGAAGAAAATAACGTTTTTTAAAACTCCAAAAATCTCACTAATATTATTTAATATACTTTAGGTGATTTTTTTTGTTTGATTTTTTTTTAATTGTTAATATTTAATGCCCACACGCTATGCAAATTAAATATTTACGAACATTACAAACAAGGGGGAGATATTGATATAAGTGCAATAATTGTTCTCTTACAACGGGCGTGAAGTGCGAAAAACTACTCAGGTTGCCTATTCTAGTACTTTTAGCTTTTGATAAATAATTGTCGTAAAAATACGACTCTGTAGCATCACTTAACATAATGATATAATAGTCAAATTAAAAGTGAAGTAAAAATACTTTTGCTTATGACTTTTTTTTCTTTTTTTAGTGTTCAGTATTCCACTTTAATATGGTTTTGATTTCATTGTTTAAATTTTAAAAGTTCAGTCACCTATTAACCATTTTATGTACAGCTTACAATATCTTAATATCATGATTTCACCGATACTGTTCCAAAATCGTGCAAAATATGTCCGTAAGGACTTTTTTTAGTTAAATGCATTGCACTTATGGTCATAAATCCATTACAATCGTTCCCTACTTACATAAATAAATACTTGTAGTAGTTTTGGATAGTATTTGGTAGTCAACTATCTCTCAATCCGGGGCAGAGCTGCGACGGGGCCGGTTTCCGAACGAACTAGCCGGCCCGAGACTTCCAACCAGTTTCGCGCCAATTATGTACCGATGTTATTCGTTACGATATAAACAAGCGACAAGAAACGCATTCAGCACGCCGTAGGCATCTTATGTACAGTACATATTAACATGTAGGTAATTTGGTAGTCAGTATGTGAGATGCGAAGTCTTGGCCGATAAATTAATTCCCAGAAAAGATGAATCGATTACATTTAAACCATCTGTTGTTTGTTGTAATATTGTAAACACGTCGCGAGTTACAATGACAAAGCTTTGTTGTAAACAACCATAATGTCGGTACCATTTAAATTATTTATGTTAATAGATGGACGTTGATCATAAATAGGCATCGACGATTATCGCAGTGAGTTAAGACCAGCCTGGAAGAAAAAACAGAATTAAAAATACCTACCTGACTCTATCGGAAACGATTTCTGTTTTGGAGTTCCTCTTCGCCGGAGTAAAGGGCTGAGGCACGGCGTGGGTAGGGCTAGTGGAAGGCTCGGACGGCGCGGAGGGCGGAGAGCAGGAGCCCGAGCTGGAGAGGCTGAAGGCCCTGGAGCGCACGTCGTTGGTCGCCGGCGTCCGTCCCGAGCGCGCTCGCCTGCGCCTCTTCTTCTCCTCGTCAGCTCTGATGACCGCACCCGGCGGAGCCCAATCTAAGTCTTTCTTCAAGTGTCCACGACCACATCTGCAGCCGCAGGCCTTGAACGCCAAATCGTAAGCTTTCTTCGTCCACAGATTCTGGTGGCGCTGGCGTTCAGACCACGAGCGTGCTCGGCCGCATGACTTGAGATAGGCGAGCACGCCGGTCTCCCATTGCTCGAAACATTCTCTGTGCATATACCGGCCGACGGTGCAAGTGTCGTTGTTGCACAGCACGCGCACGGCATCCTCGGCGCGGACGAGGTCGCGCGGGCGCAGGCACTCGCCGGGCACGCAGCAGCCCTGCGAGTAGTCCTCTGCGTCGCGCTCGCCAGTGGCGCCCTGCCGACGCGGGGCCATGCTGCACTCGCCGACGAAATCGAACGTGCCACGGAAAGTAGGAGCGCGTCACGCGAAACACATGCTTACAGGAGCGCGCGCGGCCGACTAATAACCGCGAGTGAACGAAAGCGAAATTTCAAGAGCGCAGCGCGTCGCCGCGCCGCCGCCTCGCCACCCGCTGCACGCGGGCGCGCGCCTGACCTTGCGGCGAACGGGAGGGGCGCGGGACGCTCGGCGGGCGGCGCGGGCAACGCGCGGGGGTGGCGGGGGCGCGGCGTGCAACGAAGGGCGGGCCGCAGCGACGCCGCGCCGGGTGGGGAGAAAGTGCCTAGCGAATTTTCACTTTCGCGCGGAAGCGGTAGCGGGCGCGCAAGCGATAGAAGTAGCGGGTTGCACGCCGCTGCCGCGCCGCCGACGCCCCACGGCTCCGGTTGATGCAAGAGGAAGCTCTATTCATTTAAGCGCACTCTGTATTTTTATTAAACTTTTGTGGAATCAAAAAGTTTTCGTTTTATTACGTTCTGCAATAAATCACAAATAAGAAGGCATTGTTGGGACTTTTTATATTTCATGTCTCCCAGGTCATCTTAGTCGAATACGACTTAGCTTTATACTTCATGAGAGGACAGGAGAAGAAGGTAGGTAGTAACCTAAGATTTCAGTTGCTACTGGCAAAGGCTCGTAAGGGAGTTTTGCAACTTAGTTTAAAGAGGATTTCGGGTAAAGTGCATCTTATGCACGCCTCCACCTCTCTTATCTAACAAAAAGGTCGATTCACAGCCACAACACATTTCTAAATGTTTGTTTTTAGGTTTTATCGAAACGTGTAACCTTATCATATTAATGGACAATAAAAAATTCTCCGTTATTTACGACTTTAACTAAAGCAAAGAGATATTATTTATTTTGTCATTAATTAATAGCTACATGCTAGATATTAATTAACTTTAAATTACGACTATTATTACATATCGTAACATCAACCACCTGTCAAAACTTTACGCACCACTTCTGTCTTTGTATAATAATTATGCAAATCGCTTAAATAATAAAAAAGCAAGCTGCCTTATTTACGTATAGCTTCGTGCTAAACAAGTTTTTAGAGATGCATATTCACCGACGAAATTAAATCAGGTGTTTTAAAAAATCCATTACGTAATCGTTGCCAAAGCTTTTTGCGTGTTTATTTACTGTCGCTAAAACCGGTTATTTTTTATCGCTATTAATAATTAAATTTATTTTTTTATAAGATTATATCTTTATAGTGTTTTTTTTTTTGTTATATTTAGTTAACAATAAATAGTTAATCGTTATTACATAACATGATTTTCGTAGTGGTTATAGAAATCATCTAATATTCTTTATGTGAAGATCTCATAAAAAAAATACAAAGGTTATGAAATCATTAAAATGTCAATTACAGTACTTTCCATTGTAAATCTATAAAGCATTAAAAATAGGGACATTACTAACCCACAACTGAACAATCACACCCGAAAAAAAATCACTCCCAGCTCTTTTAACGTTTGGTATTGTATTAAAAATAAAACCTTGCATTCCTGTACCATTCACAGGCAACCAGATCGAGTCTCGGAACTCGCACGTGTGTACATTGGTAGGGTGGACGTACCACAATGGGCCAACACCGCTCCTTACGAACCGGTTCAAGGCTGGAGGGCCCGAGTGCTGGGAGGGTATAAAGAAACCCGCGCAATGTGTGACCCAATTTTATTTCTACCTACCGGCCAGGTGATAGGTGCATTTTAATGTATAGGGGAGTCTTACACGTGTATCGACTCGGCCGTCACTGACCAATTTATATTACCATTTTAAAAGAACTTAATCGGCGATTAAAAGCTTTATTACCGAATAATAAACAGCAAGATATTCTTTGTTTAATGAAGGTAAGTTTGTAAGGGAACAGCGAGTGGACTGGAACGAGAATCAACTGTATTATTACAAGTCTTTTGTCTGTCCATCTGTGTGACCTCTGAATACCCATTGAATATGCGTAATAAAATTATAACTCATAAAAGTTTTTACGCTTGGTCTACAAGTTTCCTATTCCATTTTCTAACAATGACCACGATTTATAATATTATACAATGGAGAAGTCTTATTGGAATACTTTTATACATAAGGTAAGTGAATTCTACAAGATTTTTTACAAAGATATCCAAATCGGATATTCGAATCTACGCTAAAAACATAAAAATGTATAAACATAAAAGTCAAGTGATTTTAATTATTAATTATTGGTTTAAATTACAGTACCTGTACCTATACCTTTTGGAAATTATATTTAAGTACGAATTACTAAGAAAATGATGAAATATGAATAATATATTTCGATCTTACCGATAGAAAAAGTTATGTTTATGTTTAAGTTGATTATCGATAAAACACGAATAAAATGACATTTTCTAAAAGTGATTCCTAGCTAGATCGATTTATCGCCCCCGAAACCCCCTATATACTAAATTTTATGAAAATCGTTGGGGCCGATTCCGAGATTCCAATTATATATACATATATACAAGAATTGCTCATTTAAAGATATAAGATATTAACGCAATTTATTGTGTAAATAAATAAGTACATCTTAAAATTACATAATAAATTGCGCGTAATCATTATATTAAACTTGAACAAAGAAATATTACACGTACAAAAAACAGCGTCAGTTGCAAAACTTTACATGGGATCCATTTCCTTTCGTCGAGCGGATGCGAAGACGAATACTAAAAAAACATATCTATACAAACCCACAGTGTAACTTCGTTTGCACATAATGGTCGATGGTTCCGTACACTCACACACGTCATTATATTCTTACAATGATTTACAGATGAGCCAATGTCTAGCCATATTCGTGCTATGGATTGTTATTCCGACAGAACCAGACGCGACTGTCATATTGTTCAATGACTCATTACGATACGATTTTTAATAGAACAATTTATACACCGGAGACTTGATATGCACTTGTCAATATGGATGACACGTAGAGCTTTGTCGCAGTTTTTTTATAGACTTTTCCTATTTTACTAATATTATAAATACGAATGTTTAGATGGATAGTTGTTTAGAGATATCTCCGGAACAGTTGCACGGATCTTGATGAAACACAGATGGATAACATAGTCTGGAAGAACACACAGGCTATTAGTTTTTTTATTTCGCGCGGAAGGTGTCGCGGGCGACACCTAGTATGTTCATAAAAGTGTAGGTATCATTATGTGCTCACTTTATTGATGTTCGCAAATAATTGAAAATCGTTTATATATTTATATGCTACATTATATACATGCATTCCTACTGTTCGAATTAATCAATTTATAATTCTTGGTATCATACATCTTACAATGTTTTTGAAGGTGTTTTAAATTAAAAATATTTTAATATGAATAATCGTTAAAAGAAAATAATAAGCGTGTACGGCATGCAAAGGTGCGTAATGCGAAATTCCAAAAAACCGTATAACATTCAAAGTGAGTTTTTGTTTGACCCACATCTAAGGTATAATTGAGGTATAAATTGTTTAATTATTAGTTTTATAGGTCACTGCATATAGTTAGCAGGTGCATCGGCGCGTCACCTGCCGTCAGGGGTTGTTCAAGGCCTCGCATTTGCGCGACTTGTTATTTTATTTTCGTTGTACCACCACATCGTATGCTTGTACATCGATTACGTTTGAAATGAACACGTTTTCGACGGACGTTATAATTTTTTTTTATTCGTAACTTAAAGTACCGCTAATAAAAATACGGCGTTCTGGTAATCGTGTTTACGTTATGAAAGTAATTTTATATTGAAATGAACAAAACAAATGTTTGATAATTTTTTTTACAATTTAGGCAGAAAACATTTCTTAAAGAACGACACATACTAAAATTTCTATAATAACAAATTATAAAAAAATATCCATAAAACATCACCAACGTGCAGAACTGCTATACTTGTCTCAAGGGAAGAGTTAAATTTAATTGCTTCAAAGTTATCGGGATTCAACTCATTGGCTTATAGTTTGTAGGTATCTCTCAAGCATTAATGTCGATAGCCATCGCAATATTAAATAAGGCGGAAAGAAACAAAAAGGTTTTATTCCTCAATTAATGTTTTATAGCAAAATGCAAATGAGATTTCGGGTTGTGCAGATGCGAAAGTAATAAACATTCATTAACTTTACGTTTATTACCTCATCCGTGTACCGATCGGAATCTCTTAAATACGTAATGATGTAGTGTAACTACATAAAAGCATCGAATTATGAATACCAGACTGTACACGTTGACATTTAAACAACGAAGGCCAGTTCTTACAATTATTTGAAGAATTGTTATTGTGTTTGGCAGTCACTTCCTTTACCTTTGTCTTTAGTGTCATGAATCAGTTGACTCTGTGTAGGTACTTTATTAGGTTATTTTGTGAAATCGTTATGCCAAGTCAAAAAGAAAATAAAAAAGAAATAAATTGACGTATGATTATAATTTGAAAAATTAAAGACCGAAAATAACATCGATTGATACTTGCCGATTAGCGGGACAGTATCGAATTACCACATCAGCTCCTTATACGACAAACGATTTTTTATAGCAATAAAATACCTCTGATCGATGCACGTTCTTGAACAGTGTCCGTTCAAGTAACAGTGTATAGGTAATAGCTATAGCCACCCTGTGGAACCGGTAGACCTTGATCTTACAAAGGGACCCTTGTCGATCCGCCGGCGAGCTAACCTTGAGTTATTTTTAAACCGCGTTGCCTGCATTCGAATCCTGTCGGGCGACTTCTTCCGAGTGTTACATAATGCGTATGCGAAATAATAGTTTGCATTTTTTGCTTCCCATCTCCGTGAAAAGCGTGTGGCCCTGTCATTTCGGTTTTATAGCCTTTGTTTTCGGTTTGCACATATTTTATTTCTTTTCACGGAATCGTAAAAGGAAGAGGCAATGAAGGGTTAGCGTTCTTGTATAGTGAAGTGGATTATTTATGGTGCGGAATAATGGCGATCTGCGTTGTACACTGTAAGCTGCGCAATATCGGGGACAGCTGCGATATCCTTGGATATTTGTTTCTCATTTTTTGTACTTCAATAACGTTAAGACGCAAAAGCTTTAATAAACATTTAGTGATACACTTCATTATGTACTGGTTCTTTGAATGA